ACAACAACCTTGTCCACTGCAAGCTTCATATCAGCAGCCTTATAGCATTTTTCCTGTATCTGTAAGCTTACAGGACGGCTTGTAATTTCATACCATTTTAATTGGGTTAAGTGAATATACTATAAAAAAAGATCGTGAAAAACATTCCTGAAACAGAAAGGAATATTTTAGTGACAACCATCATATGTTTTGGAGAAATAAATCATAGTTTAGGTCAATTACTTTTCATTCTATGATGCCTGGTGCACAATTCTATATATGACAAGTTTACGCCACTATATTTAGTTTTGCAATATTCTAATTAGTTTTGCTACTAAAACAGTTTTACGCCGTGTCGGAGGACTGTCCCGAGTTACCCCGCCCATCCTGAGTAGCCCCGGTTGACGGTATCTATGTAGCATAAAGCAAGCTAAGAAATAATAAATTTACTACCTCTAAAATATCCCTGAAATAAGTGTGAAAAGCAAGATTTTGGGAAAGTACTTTTGCTAAGGTCTGTAGCAAAAATAATATTTGCCATACTATTAACAAATTTTAAGTTGCACTTACTTTGAACCAGGGTTGGCAAGGATTAAATCAAAATGATTAAATCATGTGATTAAATCACTTGATTTTTTTTATAAAAAATCATGATTTTTTTGATTTTTTAGATTTTGATTTTTTCATATATTTAAATATATTGAGTGGCAGTCATTAATTTATATTGAGGTATTGTTATTCATGGTTTAGTATAAATGTACTATGAATGACAAATTGGTGTATAAACTTGTTGCCTTTATTGTGTATTAGGTTCCAATAAATTGTGCAATACATTGTATGTAGCTAGCAGCTTAGCTAATTCTTATAAGGCTATAAGTACCGTAGTCTTTAACTTTTTGACTATTTGTTATATATTGATTACAATATACAATTTAAATGGGTTAGCTAGCTTATACAGGTTGGGGCAGAACTGATTGAACAGTTTTGAGGCAAAATTAAAGAGTAATGGAGGTACATAAAGAAGAAAGTTTATTTTCCTCAAGGTTAGCATAACATACCATTTAAAAAACTTATGTTATGAAAACAATATCAGGAAGATGGGGTTTGTTAGCTGCATCACACTGTTGGAGTCGTTCTTGGAAGTTTTCTACAGCACGTTCACACATATGGCGAGGTATGGCCATAACCTCTGCTTCAATAATCCATTTCCTTATCTGTGGTAGGGTGTGAGGGTGACTTCTGAACCCCTTTCTTTTAGATGTCCCTTAAGAAAGAAATTGCAAATGCTCAAATCAGGTGACCTCGCAGGCCACTGTAAATCACCCCTCAGAGTCTGGGAACATGCATTTCAAAACTTTGAGTGACATTCGGGCTGTGTGAGCTGTAGCCCCATCCTGCTGGAACCACACGTCTGCTAATGCTTCACTTTCAACAATGTTTTCCATCATGGGCTGCAAGATATTTTGCAACATTGCAGCATAGTGATCGGAATTCACTGTTATGGTTACTCCCTCGGCCCTCCTGTGAGAACGACTCCAACAGTGTGTTGCAGCTAATGGCCCCCATGTTCCAGATATTGTTTTCAAAACATAAGTATTCTAAATGGTATGTTATGCTAACCTCTAGGAAAATAAAATTTCTTCTTTATGTACCTCCACTACTCTTTTATTTTACCTCAAAACTGCTCAATTGGTTCTGCCCCACCCTGTACAGGGTGTCCCAAAAAAAAACAATACTCAACTTTGAAAGGCTGTAACTCAAAAAGTAATAAAAGTAATAGAGTTAAAAAATTTTGGAAGGTAAGGATTTGTTCCCTATGTTTTTCTCCATCTCTCCATCAAAATTCAGACAGATCGATGTAGCCATAAGCGTTTCATATAACTTTCAGTGACATGCGCTAAAATCGTGCTTGTGCAAAGTTTTAGTAAGATCATTTTGCATAATCATTGCGTTGTCTTGACATGTTTTCTTTTTGCTGTTTTATTTGTATCTTTGGTGAGACAAAAACATGGCAATCTTTGGTGAGAGGCAATCATGACAATCTTTGGTGAGAGACAATTATGACAATCTTTGGTGAGACACAATCATGGCAATCTTTGTGAGACACAATCATGGCAATCTTTGGTAAGAGGCAATCTTTGGTTTTGAAATTCCGTCTCACCAAAGATTGCCATGATTGTCTCTCACCAAAGATTGCCATGTTTTTGTCTCACCAAATATTGTCATGATTGTCTCTCACCAAAGATTGTCATGATTGCTTCTCATCAAAGATTGCCATGATTGTGTCTCACCAAAGATTGTCATGATTGTCTCTCACCAAAGATTGCCATGTTTTTTGTCTCACCACAGATAGCCATGATTGTGTCTCACCAAAGATTGTCATGATTGTCTCTCACCAAAGATTGTCACGATTGCCTCTAATCATAGATTGCCATGTTTTTGTCTCACCAGAGATACAAAAAATAAAACAGCAAAAAGAAAACATGTCAAGACAACGTAATGATTGTGCAAAATGATCTTACTAAAACTTTGCACAAGCACGATTTTAGTGCATGTCACTGAAAGTTCTATCAAAATCTTATGGCATCGATCTGTCTGATTTTTGGTGGAGAGATGGAAAAAACATAGGGAACAAATCTTGACCTTCCAAAATTTTTTAACTCTATTACTTTTCAAGTTACAGCCATTCAAAGTTGAGTATCAATTTTTTGGGACACCCTGTATATTGAGAGGTTGAGATTGTATAGACTCTTTAGGCAATTAGAAAGATTTTCCACCCTAATACAAGTATTCTAATGAAAATATTTGATTTCAATCTTTAAATATATGAATTTAAAAGTAGAAACAAAAAAATTACAATTAAAAGACTATACCTATATAAAATAATTAAATGCAGTGAATGGATATAAAATATTTGAATTGTGCACATGTTCATTTCAAACATTGTTAGATTTTCTCATAACTTAAGTCTCGTTTCAAGTCGTATGAGGTTTGTTTGGTTATCATACAGTTTATGTTTAGTATTGGTTTATTGGTCTGAATTAAATGGGAACAGTGCAGTCAGTCACTCAGTCACTACTAGTCGGTGTGTTTAGACAGTAGTGTGGTAGATTTATAGGACATAAAACTAGTAGATCTATTGATAGTGCTGTGCACTGTGCTATCAGCTACCTATCTGTTATGTGGCTCTTCAATGTTTAGAAGATCTGCATTCCTGAAGTGTTTTTGTATATTGAAGCCAGTTAAATGGTCAATATTTAGCTCATTACCTTGCTCCATACAAACTTTACAAATCTAATGAATGGACTTCCATTATGATCCATATACTGTTGTTGTTAGTAGGCTAATTGCAACATAAAAAATAACACTTCAAAAAGACAAAAAAGCTGAAAAAAATAAAAAAAATCAAGTAAATAAAAAATATCATGAAAAAAATAAAAAAATCACCAACCCTGCTTTAAACTTAGGTGATGCTTACTTTTGGTATCTAGGTTACATTACGTGCCTTTACGTGCTGCGCGGCGGTTTTTTGCCTCTACTGAAAAGTTGCCAAAGCTGAAAACCCCTCTCACGGCAATCCTATCTCCTCCTACCATTTTAAGGCTACATCAATGAGAAATACCATTCGATTTGGAAAGGAAAGATCTACAAATGTTACTTGGTTGTTTTTCCAATTTCGTTATAGTTTGGATTTTATTTTGCAAAAAGTGGGGGAGGGCAGGGGTAAAATCAAAAAATTTCGAAAAATATTGGAAAAAATGCTCCCGCACCCACAAAAATGAGAAATCCAAAAAACTGCCAAGTGATGCTTTTAGATACTATGGTATATATCTAAATGATATGGTATATATATATAATGCATCGAATGATACGTATGTGTCTCAATGTTGTAGCTTGAAAATCCTAGGAAGAGATTTCTAAAGTACCCCCTTTTTGGCCGTTTTCTAAGAATTTCACATTATCTTCAATTTTTTTGAAAAATTCACACAAAAAAGTCTCAGAATTCTGTTTGACATACATGTACCAAATTTCAAATCAATCCGTCTGTAAATAACCGAGATAAAGTTGTCCCTAGATGCTCCCCTTAACTCTAAAGTTTTTGCAAAAGAATATTTTGATTTGTAATTGTTTCAAGTGATAGGAAATGACTTATTCATCATAACATGAACAATATTTACTTTTGTTTAATTTTTAATAATTGAATTTTCATTGTTAGTAACAGCCAAATTTATTTTCTAAGCAGGAACAAATCTTGTGTCACATCAGTAGAATTAGAATCTTTGAATTTCCTCCACTGCTTGGTTGTTCTTGTCTTTCTACAATGTGCTACAGGTTTTGGGGCCTCTTGTGTAGCTATGTGGTTCTTCATTACCATGTAGAAACACAAGAAATTACACCTTGGTTACCAATCAACACAGAACAGGGATACTGATCTAAATGGCACCATCAGTTAGTTGTGATCAGACCTAAAACTACCTACATATACGTGCCAATTCAAGGTTAAGATGGCGCGCTTGAAAGCTTAAAAGATGAGAATATTTTAACCTATAAGGCCTTGCTGAACAATCTAAGCAGAATCCTTAGGAAATTTGAGATGGGTAGGAACATGTATACATATTTTAAATAGGAATATCTTGAACTAAAATTTTCTTTGACAAGTCAGCTGATATTCATGGAGCAAGCTAGTGACACAAGTGATTAATATTGAATACATGCACCATACTTCCTATTTCTGAAATTTCTACCTAAATGATAGTCATACAGTCAATATTCATAGTTTTATTTGATTCAACATTTTGAATTTCCTTGTGGAACTCCTTTGGCTCTTTGAATTGTATAAAAACGTTTTTTTTTATAACTATTAAAAATAATTTTCAATCAGTAGTAGAAGTAGGTAGATATTTTCCACTCAGAAAGCTACTTTCATTATAAAAATTTACATTCCATTAAATTTGATTTAAAAACATTTCCCTACAAATACAAGATAACACTGAAAAATGGTAAAAACAATTTTTACTTACCTCCACATTCTCAACATTTCTTGACTTCACAGCTTTGGTTATGATTGTGCAGTCATGCACATCAAAATTTTCAAAGTTCATTGACATTCTGCCAATCAATTATTATTAATACTTGTGCTAGGTTGGAAATGAAGTTATGAAATTGTCTCTTGTTAAACTCTTATAGGGTCATTCATCTATGGTTAATTACATAAACATAATTCATCTTCTATCTTTCAGCTTCGTTCTTCAGTTCACAAATTCACAAGGAAGATGCAAGGAAGTTAGACAATCAGTTCGAGCAGGATAAGATACAATCACTCCTGTTACGGAGTTATGAACTACCGTCAACTGGGGCTACTTGGGATGATTTCGAACGTTTTTCATTCATAACTTCTTACAATGAAACATTTCATAAACAAGTTTAGGCTCATTTCAAAGCTCTTTGCAAGGGCTATCACATGGCTTCTTCAAAAAAAATCCATATGCTATTCGTAAGGTGCCAGAAGCAAAAAAAGAGTGTCCCAAGTAGCCCCGTCAAACAGGGCTTCTAAGCTACAACTAAGACGTTTTGCATCTAACATAGTTTTTTGTACAGATTAAAAAAGTGAGCTGGGGTAAGAAAGAACCAACTGGTAATTCTTATGTTACAATTCTTATGTTACAAATTTGATATTCAATATTATCCATCTAGAAACACATTATTTGATTAAACAAGCACTAGTTACTGTTTTGTGTTGCGGGAAGTAAACTCTAATATCAGTCACATTGAAGTTTTTGTCATGCAAAAACTTTCTTAAGCATAGTAATAGTGGGTTGGCTTTGTATCACACTTCACTGTAGAGCACTGTTAAATGCTACATGTATATTCCTTTAGTGTCATTGTCTGAAAAATTCATCAAATTGGCAATAAAACCAATGGATAATAACTCAAGTGTCAGACGTCATGCATTTTCTTGCTAGCTGCATTTGTGGTGCACTTCTTTTAACATAGTAGCTCATGCTCTCTCACAGAGTTGTGATCCTAATTATTTTTCATGTTTCACATAGTGATTTTTCCCCCAGCCAATCTTGCATAGTTCTGCAGCTCACTAATGGGAATAGACATCCCTATTTTCTATATCCCTTTGATGCAATTTAAAATAGTGCACTAAATTTCTCTAATTAAAAAAGCTAACAAGTTATAATGAAGTTTGAGCAAAAGATGAAAATTCTGACTAAATACTCCATGTACTACACAATAATACCTATATTAATTTAAAAACTATTTTTGATAAACTGTAGGGTAATGGAGGACCATTTGTGGGGTAAGACAAGATCATTTGTAGGGTAAGATAGGACCACTTGTGTGGTAAAACAGGATCATTTAGTGGTCTTGTCTTACCCCATGTCCAGTTTTTTTACTCCATTTTAGAATAGATGTCAGGCAGTGATGGTAGCAGGTAGGAATGCCTAGTATGTCTAAAAAGTTGCCTATTACTTGAGGTTACCTGCCTACATCAACAAACCTGGCCAAAAATTTTTTGTCATTAGACAGAACTTATTTCCCAAACAGGGTTAACTATTTTGTGACCCTTCTTTACATAGGTTTTCTTTAAAATTAGCTAGAAATTCATTATTTGCAGAAGAGGGTTGCCACAAACACTGAAATGTTAGGCAATGATTGTTCTAACATATTCTTTTGTCAAATTGAATTCAGTGCAAATAGAATGCACGCCATGGGCTGGTCCTTTCTTACGCCATGAAGGGTGCAATCCTGTCTTACCCCATTTGACTATATATGTGTAAAAGTTGGTGGGATTGAGCAGTGTTAATGGCTCGGAAAGTAACAAGTCCTCGAGGGCCTGTCCAGTGGCATCAGGTGCCAGTGTGTGAGATGATAGGAGGGGAGTGTGAGCATTAAAATCTCCAAACACAAGGTAGGGGGAGTTAGCTGTTGAACATAACTGGATAGTTCTTGTGGCGTAACTGCAGAATTTGGGTTGTAAACGTTTAAAATGGAGATTGATGAGGCATTTAAGAGTAGAAGACTAGCAGCTTGCACCTCTAAAACTCCCCCTGTAAAAGGAGCCATGAGAAGAGGCCTAATGCACAGTGTGTTGCGGACCAAGATGCACAATCTCCTGCCCCTACGGTCTCTATTGCACCAGTTGGCAGTGTAGCCAACAAATGAGGGGAGAAATTTTGAAGCTACCCAAGTTTCTGTAAGACACATAATGCAGGGCCTCTGACTGTATAATAGTAATTTGATTTCAGCACGATGTGAGTATAGGCTATTACCGTTCAAGAGAGTGATTGAAAAAGGAGAAGACAGTGGAGCCATGTTTAAAGTTTTTTGCTTGACTTTTACGTGGACGAGATGAGCGGCGAGATGCAACAGGTGGGACACCTGGCAAATATTTACCTTTTTTATTTCTTTGCAATGCCTGGAAGCTTTCTGTCCACCACCTGCCCCCAAGGAGGGTGTTGGTAAGATATCATCACCCTTCAGATTCCCCAGATTAGGCAAGTCTGCCTCAGATGTGTCACTTGTACTGACCAGTTCAAAGTCCTCCACTCCCAATGCTGAGGCAAGGTCAATGTCAGAGTAGACATCCGAGGCACAGGGAGAGGCCGGAAGCACTGAAGGGTCCACTTCAGGCATGCTTGGTATAGGTGCACTCACATTTTTGGAAGGAGGAGCCTATTGGAGCAGTGCAACAGGGACCTCAAAATGTCTTGAGATGGCAGCATCAATGAGTGATCTGTGCTTATTTTGTGACTCATCTTTCAAGTTCATTGAAATTAGGTCGCTCCATACCTTCCCTAATTTGCCCAAGAACTCAGGGGACAGTTCACCTTCTTTATGATCAGCTCTATCCGCCACAACAGGACCACCAACAGCTGGCTGCACTGGAAGAGCCACTCCACAATTCAAAGGAACACAATCAACAGGACTAGCTCTTATCACACACTGGTAGGAGCTCTCAGGGGCACGATGTACCTCGACCGCAGTTTGACTTTTATGCAAGCCCCGCCCAGGTGAGCAGACAATAGCGCTCCACGAGCGAGTTCCACAGTGCTGGGTGGGAGCAGGATGCACAATTGGCTCAGACCAAGCAGGAGAGCCACCACCACCAACATCCTGGACCTTGGACTGTGAGGCAGATGCAACGATGAGGAGGTCCTGGCTGGAGGCTGTCCAGCACGCAACAGCAGACAAGAGCACTCTCTAGAATTTGTTTTGTGAGCTAAGCCACAGTTTGCACATTTTACTATGCTACTCTTGCATTTACTCACATGGTGGGGGCCAGCACAAACTAGGCACCGCTCTGGGCCCCGGCATCCCTGGGCAGAATGTCCTGGTAGTTGACAGCGGAAGCACTGTAGAGGGGGGAATTCAAAAGGCCTGACCTTGTATCAGACTGGGCCAAGTTTCACATGAGTTGGTAGGGCATTGCCAGAGAGAACAAGACGTAGTGAGGTTGAAGGAACACGGGTTTGGTTCTCCTGTCTTAGTAATCTCTCAATACGTACAATCTCAACGGGTCCATCAATTTTTAGGCAGTCTTTTAGCGATTCAATGTCAGTATCTATATCTACTGGGGAGATAACTCCATATAGGTATTTGGCTTGATTAGGCTTGGTGCAGGTGACATTCCAAGTTCCTAGTTTAGTAGTAGAAATCAGTTTGTTGACATTGTCAGAGTCAGCCAGCTTTACAGCAATGAGCCCCTTATGCAGGTGGGGAAGAAAGCATCTTACGTGAAGGATCATCAGCTGGGCGCATGAAGAGGACACAGTCATCTCTACGCTTGTGTATCACAACTGTGGGTTTTTCAGCTCCTGCATTGTTGATTCTCTTGTTGCCTCCAGACTGTAGCTGCAACTGTTGCGCTTGAGTTGAGGGTGAAATTGGATGTTCAGCCCGGACAGCATCAAATACTTTCTTCCATACTGGCCGTACTGTGGTGGTAGTATCGTCAAAAGATGCTTTTCTCTTTCGGTCTTCTGGATTTGAAGGCTAAATGACACCGTTGCTCTCTGTCTGCATTGTTGCACCATCCCAGTCACTGTCTGCTAGGATCACTGCAAGCTGAGAAGCACTGAGTTTGCTCTCTAAGCTTTGGGAGTTCCCTGGGGGGCCAGGAGCTTAGAAGCCAACTTTTTGTTTGGGGAAGAGACATGATTCGGAAGCAGATGGTTTGCTTCGGCTACTACACTTCGTTTAACTACACTTCACTTTACGACACTTCACTTTACTACACCGCACCTCACTTCACAACACCACACTTCACTTCACAACAACACACTATAATACACAACTACCCGTTTTCTGGGCTCTGAGTCACAACCAGCTGTTTAAGGAGAGTTAGGGTACGTACACAGTGAAAGCAGGTTGCCAGAGTGCTGGTTACCTGAGGCTGGCGCCTGAAACAAGCATGAGAGGGTGTTCACAGAGGAAGCAGGAAACCAGCTGCGACCTAATCATAGACTCCAAATTGTTTATGAATAATATGGGTTCAAAAATTAATCTTTAAATAGAATACTTCTAAAAAATCTAGTTTCTCCGATGTTACAGATGTACAATGAATTTCTAATTTTATTGAAAAAAATAAAAAGTAATACTTTTTACAATTTTGTTTAATATTTTAAAAATTTAAATTTTCAAAACTATTTGTTCAGTCAATTGATAATCACCAAATAAACAAAGAAAATGGAGGGTTTAAAGGTACAACGAATTCAAAAATGACCATATGCCAAGCAGGTTGAGCAGATAAGAATGTGCAGTACATTCCAGTAAATAGGTATAAGCAGGTTGTCAGCAGAAGCCTATTCGCACAGGTTTTCACTGTGAACACTTACATTATTATCCTATGTTCATTCTTGTGGCAGGTCGGACTAGGTTGCCTGCATGGGCAAACCTGCTTTCACTGTGTATGTACCCTTACACACCACACGTCTTACTTCAACGAGTGACCAAAAGAAAAACCAGTCGGCAACTGGATATAGTCTTATGTTGTTGTTTATTTGTTTATTAAGGATGTGGGGTTGTCCCCCATGTCCCTCACGGCTCAAGTTGTCACCAAGTCTTTACTTTTTATTTATTTTTATGGGAGTACTAGAAACTGATCCATGAGGTACTAAATAAGGTTTAATTTGTGCCTAATCACTCTGAAAATTTCTGAAAAGAAACACACACACACACACAAAAGACAAAAAAAATGACAACAAAAAATAAAAATATATATATAATAAATTAATAAAAATATATATA